CCAAAGTGATCCCTGAGTAGCGCAACTTAGCTCTTCCACAGCACACTCGCCAAAGTAATCCCTGAGTAATCCACTGGCCAAAGTAATCCCAAGCGCGCAGCAGCGCAGCGCGCAAACAACAGCCGTGCGCGGTGCAGAGGACGGCCTGCCCGGGCGGATGCACGGGTCTACAGCTGCCACGGGCAGCAGTTGCCACGAAGTGTCTCTCATAGAGCCATACGGCGCCTGGCTGCTACGCGGACGAAAGTAGCCGAAGAAAAGAGACAGCAAGTCATAGGTCTTGTACGGGAAGAGATCGCTGACCGCGTGCGACAGAAGCTAGACGAGGATGAGGTGCTCTTTCCCCGGGTGCAGGAGCCGAACCGGAGAAAAGAAAGGCAGATGGCCCAAAGCAAGACGGAACTTGAAGCAGAAAGTGTCTCAACAGACACCATGCCGTCGCGCAAAAGACACATGGAACCACAACAAGACAAGCAAGCACAGCCGACGCCCACCAAGACCCAGCCCCGCACACAGACAACGCAAGCAGCACAGGCAGTGCCTGTAGGGAAGCGTGCAAAAACCGTGTCGGTGAGCAGCCAAGTGCGCACAGACCACAAACGGAAAAGGGAACACGAAAGTGACAAGGGTCTGGCTCCAACCGAAACCCAAACGGGCACAAACACCAACGCCAGGACAGTGCCGGCGCCACAACGAAACACTCTTACAGAGGGCTGGCCTACAACGCAAGACGAGCAACGCGCAGACTCGCCGGCAAGACCGCAAGAAGAGACGCAGGCCACGGCGACAGCCGCGCAGGAAACAAACGCAGCGCCGGCAAAGTTCCCTGGACGGAAGGCCGCGAAGGAAATGTTCCAATATGCATGTCCTGTTTGTGAGGCGTCGGTGAGCAGCAGCGTGCGCACAGGCCGAATAGATCACCGCCGTGCGTGCGGGCATCGTTTTCGTGTGAAAGACGGCGACGTAGCCGCCAGGAAGTGTAACTATGTTTGTCCATTTTGCAAAGGGCACGTTGCGAGCAAGCTGAAAACAGGGCAAATAGATCACCGAACCGTGTGCGGCAACCGGTTTTACGTCAAAGAAGGCACTCCCAGAGAGCCCAAAGACCTCTAATTAAGGGAAAACCCTCTAATTAAGGTAAAGCCCTTAAAAAACAACCTCTATTTAAAGGTTAGTCCTTTAATTAAAGGTCTTTACACCTTAATTAGAGGTCTTTGGTCCCTTAAAAAAGGTATAATCCTTTAAATAAAGGGTTTTGGTGCTAAAAACATACAACCCTTAAATAAGGGGTTTTGATGGCTCATGATTGGTGGGAAAAACATGTCAAACACATGTTTAGCTGAAATGTTTAATCTGGTGAAACCTCCTGTTTCACTAAAGGAGGTGCCTCCTACATGAAGGAGCATTGTATATTTTTATCATATTAGTTGTATATTGTCTGTTTGAAGGAGAAGCCTCCTGCAAAGGAGACTTCTCCTGTTACCCCATCCCAACCCAGCAGCTGCAGCACCTTTTTTCTCAAAGCGAAGGGACCTGGTGCAAGGCTGCAAACTTATGGAACATGCCTTGTGCCACAGCCAAGCAACTGAGGTTACCTCCTCGCCTTCTAGCAAGTTCTGACATTTGCCCTCCCCAATCCTCATCTCTGTAGGTCCACCCAGTGGATGGGGAGGCTTTGGGGTCAAATGTCAGTTCCAAGAACAAATGTAGTTTTGGGGTAACCTTGAAAAGTTGTCGACCTTGCTGGACAGAAATTTGGTTCAAGGTGACATACAAAGCAGCAAACTTCAAAGCTTCTCTGTGCAAAGCACTTGGTTCAAACACTTGCTGGCTCAATTGCTGGTAGCAATTGTGCAAATGTTGGGCACATTGGATGACTGCAGCTTCAAAAGAATCTGCATTGTTGAGCAATACTGTGCATTGCAACGAAAACAAAATCAAGCCTTTTGCCTCTCCTGCTTTGGCTCTCAACTTAGGAGAAGTAGAACTGGAAGACTTTTTCTTGTCTTTGTAAAGCATGGAAGCCTTCAGCAAAGGCATTTGGGAATCAATGGCATACTCCTTGTAGTAGTTCTTCATACTGACATGCAAAGCTTTGCACCTCTGGTCCACATTGTTCCCAGGCAGCTTCTCTGACAACAGGACAAAGACAGAGGCTAAAGGTCATACATAGAGAAATAAAATATGAATCACTAGGTTTACGGTAAATAAGATATTCATGGTCAATGCTCATGTATGCATAGGAGGTGGTGGCCCTTCTCCTGCTGTGCCAAAACCGGAAGAAGTGCCTGCACCAGCTGCTGCTGCCACCGCAGAAGTTCCCAATGGGGGGGGCGTCCTTCCTGAAGCTCCCAATGAGGCTGCCAATGAGGTTGAGGAATCTCCCAATGAGGAGCCCAAGCCAGAGCCTGGGGCCAAAGATACTGAGAACTGAATATCTTCTCACATATCTTCCAAAGCCATCTCAGCTTGAAAAAAAGGTGTTGCTTTGCTGCTCAGTGGGTGGGGATGGATGATAAAGCTCCTTGTTGGGCAGGAGCTACAAAAAAAATACCTCCTGAACTAGGAGGTCAATAATCAATGGTTGATATGTTAAAAAAACCTCCTGGGATTAGGAGGTATATAAATAATTTAGGGCTTCTACAAAGACCAACCATTTAACTTCATTTAACTTCATTTAACTTGGTCTATTTAACTTCATTTAACTTATACATTTAATTGGAAATGCTTTCATTTTGGTAAGTTAAATGAAGTTAATTTAACTTATGGTAAGTTAAATGAAGTTAATTTAACTTGGAAAATGAAAGCATTTGCAACTAAATGGCCAAGTTAAATGAAGTTAATTTAACTTGGGCTGGTTTTCACAATTTAATTGGAAATGCTTTCATTTTCCAAGTTAAATGAAGTTAAATGAAGTTAAATATATACATGTTTGTGGCCATGAGCTAGTTTGATAAGATTTTAGGTGAACAACACAAGGTTTGAGGATTGTGCACTACATTCCTTTTGGAAACACTGCATTTCAAATATCATTTCCAACAGCTTTTTCTTGGTTTCTTCATTAGTGCATTCTCTGCCAAAGATTTTGGTAGCTGCCAAAGACTTTTCATTGCAAACAGACATTCTGCATTTTGATAAGCATCACTGCAGCTTTTGACTATCAAGATACAGGTGCACCTCATTTGACACAGAGGCTGCAGGTTCTGCAACTGCCTCAGGCTCGTGCAGGGCCAAGGATGCTGCAGGTTTCTTCAAAGCTGCAGAGGCTGGCCTTTTCATCGGTTTGGAAACAATGTGCAATGCCAGGTTGGGAGTATCTGACTCACACCAAATTGGTACAGCAAAAAGCCTTTGTCCCCAGGAACACATTGGGCTTCCAATGTCTCACCATTGGCTAGCTGCCTCTTCATGACACCCTTCTCCTGGTCGAAGAATTGCAAAAGCACAGCAGCAGTGTCTCCATTCTCGTGTTCAGGAGCTACTTCCATGTCTGCAACAGGAGGGGCATTCCCCTCCTGAGAAGAATAATCCACTGCAAACACTTGGGATTTCATGGCTCTCCTTTTGGAAGGTGGGCTCACTCCATAAAGCTCATAGGGATTCACTTTGCTACTGCTGCTAGCTTCAGCTTTGCTGCTGCTGGCAGACTGAGCAGCCGCTGCCACAGGCAAAGAAGCTTGGGAGAATGAACGCTTGGGAGCAGCAACTTGGTGACTGGAAGGCTCCAGGTGATCCCATTTAGACATGGCATCCATCACCCTTTTGACAGCAGGATGGGTTTTGGCACCACTGGTGGTGCTCTTTTTTTACTTCTGCATTCAACCAAAGCAGAAGCCAGTTGCCTGCTAAAATATTTCGCTTCATCCACACTGGTGCCCTCAAAGGTCTTCAAGACAGCAGTCTGCAAAAGAGTTCTGTTGACCCTGGGTGTCTTTGACAGCAAGGCCAGCAAAAAACTCTCATAGGAAGCTACCACCATGGCAAAGTTCGTGTCTTTGTAGCCACCTCCCTCTCCCTTAGGAGCTTGTTGACATCTTCCTGGCTGCAGGAAGTGGATGCTCTGCCAAGTTTCCCTTGGCCAGACATGGTGACACACAGCTGGCCTAAAGCTTGGGAAAGAAAAGGCTGCAACATGTATTCCTTGGCCTGGCCAAACACAAATTCCACACAAACTTGCACAGCTCACAGCAAGGAGCTCCTGACATGACACAAGGAGCTCCTATGAGTCATTATCAACAAGAAAACTATATTTGTTATGTAGAAAAACATACCCTTGAAAACCATCTAATTAAGGTCTATTGAAAAGACCTTAATTAGAAGGTTTTCACCTTAATTAGAGGTTCTAAATTTAAGGGGTTTTCATTTAGAGGGTTTTGGGCTGTCTGGGCTGTTAGCGCGCAGACACGCCAGCATCCGCAAAGGTGCCCCGCATGCCACAGTGTGGTCTGGTCAACACTGCTCTTTGGGCGCATTCAGGCCACACACAACACACCTTCAGGAAAACAATGCCCGACAAAGAGCTGGCTAGTTCCGGAGAGCAAGCACGACACGACGAAATAGAAAGCGACCATGAATAACACCGGCTTTCGCAGGCAAGGCTGCGGTGCAGGAATGTGCAGCCAAGGGTCCCGGGAAGGTGTTTGGAGCCTGGGCAACGGCGCTGCCAGCTGCGGAGAAGGGTTTGAGGGCGGTCCAAAATGGCTATAATGTTGCTTTCGGAAACCCATAAGAAGAGAAGAGGCAGGCCTGCCAGCTGCCGAGAAGGGTTTGAGGGCCGTCCAAAATGCGTAACGTTGCTTTCGGAAGCCCATAAGAAGAGAAGAGGCAGGCCTGCCAGCTGCCGAGAAGGGTTTGGGGGCGGTCCAAAATGCCTAACGTTGCTGGCAGGCCTGCCAGCTGCCGAGAAGGGTTTGGGGGCGGTCCACAATGCGTAACGTTGCTTTCGGAAGCCATAAGAAGAGAGAGGCAGGCCCGCCAGCTGCCGAGAGGGGTTCGGGGGCGGTCCACAATGCCTAACGTTGCTTTCGGATCGAAGCCCATAAGAAGAGAAGAGGCAGGCCTGGGACAGGCCAAGAGAAGAGGCAGGCCTGCCAGCTGCCGAGAGGGGTTTGGGGGCGGTCCAAAAGGCCTAACGTTGCTGGCAGGCCTGCTATAAGAAAGAAGAGGCAGGCCTGGGACAGGCCAAGAGAAGAGGCAGGCCTGCCAGCTGCCGAGAGGGGTTTGGGGGCGGTCCAAAATGCCTAACGTCGCCTTCGGAAGCCCATAAGAAGAGAGAAGGCTGCTTCGGACAGGCCACAGAGAGGCCACAACAGGCCTGCCGGCTGCCGAGAGGCAGGCCTGCCAGCTGCCGAGAGGGGTTTGGGGGCGGTCCACAATGGCTAACGTTGCTCTCGGAAGCCCATAAGAAGAGAGAGGCAGGCCTGCCAGCCAGCTGCCGAGAGGAGTTTGGGGGCGGTCCAAAAGGCCTAACGTTGCTGGCAGGCCTGCCATAAGAAAGAAGAGGCAGGCCTGGGACAGGCCAAGAGAAGAGGCAGGCCTGCCAGCTGCCGAGAGGGGTTTGGGGGCGGTCCAAAATGCCTAACGTCGCCTTCGGAAGCCCATAAGAAGAGAGGCGGCAGGCCACAGAGAGCCCGCAACAGGCCTGCCGGCTGCCGAGAGGCTT